GAAACTATCCTCTATATGATGACACAGTGATCCAGCTTCAGGGCCTGCAACCTTACCTTCTTACCACAAATCTCCGTGACCACCCTGCACAAGGGGTCAGAAGAGGTCTTACTTCAGTGATTAAATGCTTCAAATCGAAGGGAATACATCACTTTCATTCATAGTCTTTTGGCCACAACAAGTAACATGGCAACACCCCCCCACCCCACAACCACAGGTGAGACTCTGGGCGAGAAGGAGAGGAGAATTGGTTGTGGCCAAGAACTAAGACTGTTTATCACACAAATCTAGATCTCTTTCATGAGCTCTAGATCTGTGTGTCTTGTTACCCTTGCCACATTTCTGCCTGAATGTTGCACAAACACCCTGAAGTCAATGTGTCAAAGAGTAAACACATTATTTGTCCAATTCTATATCACTTCTATATCGGCACTACTAGTCAGTGATAACGATGCAGAAATCTGGGAGCTACCCTGAGCTCCTCTCTCCCATACCCTCCTCTTACAAGTAGTAAATGACTAGATTCATCACCTCTCTTCTCCATCTCTTCTTCCTCATAGCCACTGCCTCTTGTCAGACCTCTGCAATGGTAAAGGATTTGCTACCCACTGCCTAGCCCCTCCCTTCTGTTGCCTAAACCCAATGTGACCATGTCACTCTTCAGCCATCTCTCCATTCCCCCTAAGGTAAGGTTTGTTTAGAGTCCTCCATTACCTGGTCTTTTCCTTCCTCCAGCCTTTTCTCTTCCATTCTCCCCACCTGACCTTCATTCCCCCTGCACAGCCATGGCAAAATACTTGCATTTCTTGGACTGTAACTAACATGACAAAGCATGTTTTACTCACGCAATCCCTCTGCCTGGGATATGCTTCTTTCCTCTGCCTGTCTAGAAAATGTGATTCATCTTCCAAGACACAACTCATACATCATCTCCTCTATGGTGCTTCTCAGGACACACAGTCTCCCTCCTTATTGTGTAAGCTCAGCCCTTTCTCCATTGGGTCCCACTCTTCTGGTGCAGATATCAGCATTTCATCTACAATATTTCATTATGCTGTTTTCTCCAGAACTTGGCAATGCATGTGGGTCATAGAAGGTGCTCAGTAAATGTTGAATTAATTAATTAATTTTCACTCTAAGTCTTGAGCTATTACTGTTTCCCTCTCTGGCTCTTCTTCATCCTTCAGCTCTTTGGTAACATCTTCAATCTTTTGCCCTTCCTTGTTTTTGCTTCCACTCCTAGATATCTCTCAAATTCACTTACATCTCGGCACAAAAACAGGCACATAGATCAATGGAGAATAGAGAACCCAAAAATGGACCCTCAACTCTAAGATCTACTAATCTTCGACAAAGCAGGAAAGAACGTCCTATGGAAAAAAGACAATGTCTTCGGTAAATGGTGGGAAAATTGGACAGCCACATGCAGAAGAAAGAAACTGGACCACTTTCTTATACCATACACAAAAATAGACTCAAAAAGGATGAAAGACCTAATTGTGAGACAGGAATCCATCAAAATCCTAGAAGAGAGCACAGGCAGCAACCACTGTGACCTCAGCTGCAGCAACTTCTTGCTAGACACATCTCCAAAGCAAGAGAAACCAAGGCAAGAAATGAACCACTGGGACTTCAAGATAAGAAGGTTCTGCACAGCAAAGGAAACAGTCAACAAACCCAAAAGACATAGCGAAATAAGTCAATCGGAGAAAGACAACTATCATATGATCTCCCTGATATGAGGAAGTGGAGATGCAACATGGGGGGTTAAGGGGGTAGGAGAAGAATGAATGAAACAAGATGGGATTGGGAGGGAGACAAACCATA